CCTCACAGCCATTGTTACAATATCAGCAATAACCACCAACACAGACAGACCTGCTGCAGCCTGGCACTGCACAGGAGAGCAGAGCACCACACCTGAGAGGCCACAGGAGACGTAAGGTCATGATAAGGAATGCTGACAGAAATTATGTAAAGCCTCCTCCGGCTGATGCAAGGTTTTGGAAGGAATTGAGAGAAGCAGAAAATAAATAAATAAATCATCCTCCTTTGTTACAAACATCTCTTGTTAGATTGAAACAAACGAGCTGTTGTTGTTGTTGTTGTGGAGTGCATCGCTGAAATGGATGCCTTTTTAACAAAGAATATACGCCTGGATCCCACAGTGTGGTGGTGGGGGCTACAGTGCGGGATGCAGGCGTTGGGGGGGGGGCAATTCACTTTCATTTCAGCTTGCTCGAAAATATAAACTAAAACTGCTGTTCATTTGCAAGCGATTACTGTGCAACAGATTAGATATAGCGTCCTTTTTCAGAGCATACGTTTTTCATTGTTTAAACTTTGATGAGATCCAACTCTCTGAATTGATTGCAATTGATAGTACAGTGAGTGCTGATTTCCCTGACAGTGTGAAGTGCAGACTGTGGCAGTCAATGGAGACCATGAAGACTCAGCTTTAGGGATGCTGCACCAGAACGGATTATTTTTCATCCAGTGCTGAAATTCAACCATGCCACATGATGTTATTTCCATGGATCACTTCAAAGGGAAGGGGAATCAAAGATCTCATACTATACTAAAGCACACTGGCATCAGAAGCTCACTGATTTTCGTGTTATGCCACAGAGTCCTCTCATCTGCCTCTTGTCAGCATGTCACTTAATCATCCTTAACTAACACCAATGTTGGTACCAGCTGTCCTTTCTTCCTTCTCTCCCTCCCTATTATTGTTTCTCCCATCTTTGTCCTCCTTCATGTAGACAATCGACACAAGGCCATTGTTGTCATCTGCTCTAATACACGCTACATGCAGTCCGACAGCATCCGTATGGTCCCATCCTGCCCAGCACCACAGGAACATGTTGGCCCCATATGGAGCTTCCCCCACTGGGGAAATGTATCCGAGACGTCTGGTGGAAGTCAGCGAGGACACTGGCTAGATGATGCTAATAAACTAGTTGCTTTCCTACCGTTAAAATACGGTAATGATGTGGAAACCTTAAGCTTCTTACACTGCAAGGTGGGACTATTTTGATGAAGCTTTGTAGCTTCCTGTCTCTCTTTCATTCTTTCTTAATTCTCAGATTTCCATTTTCATTTCAGAGGTTCCCCAGGAAGTCTGTCGGATAGAACATCAGCCGTTTCAGACGAGCTACAGACTATTAAATCTTTTTTTTAAATCATGATAAGCTCCAAACTTTCTCAACTTTAAACACCATGCCTTTCATTTCACGTATGTCATTGCAAATTGCCTACATGTACTCGAATGGTTAATATTCGGGCAACACCAACACTACCTATGTTGTTGTTAAAAACCTATGTTCCAAACAGCAGTGAGAAATAAGACAGTATTGGAGCTCGCGCCTCTTAATCTCCCCCTCCTCCGGCTCAGCCTAACTGACATTTTCTTAATTTATTTCTCTCAGAATTCCAACATTTTAATTAGGTCATTCCAAATCTCCTCCCACGCAGCGTTATTCCCAAAAACTTTTATTTCATCATGTTAGTCATTTTGCCTCCTTCGTCTCTCATTCTCTCTTCTCGTTCTTTTTCGCACTTGTCAGTTTTGCTCAGCGGGTTGTCTTACTAATTATGTACAGTTTTTTCCCCTATCACATCCTGATGCTGCCACATTTGATACTTTATAGGTAAAGACATAATTGAATCACAGTAATAAATAAATTGGCATCTGGAAGAAAAAACCTCTTCAATGTGTCAGTGTTGGAAGAACATTTGGAGAAGGAACTGTGAAGCACTCTGCTTTTGGATGTGTGTATTTTCTGCCCGATGTCAGGACGTGTGTTTATGTAGGTCAGTGTGTACAGTTTGTGTGGGTAAGTTCAGACTTTGCATAAGTGTTCTTGAGACGTAGAAGGCTCCTACGGCTTATATCATGGATGCTTATGTGTGTGTGAGTGCGTCAATTCCCCTTTTATAACAGAAAGTGTATAATCTGTAAATTGTTCCTCTGTATGCCAGGAGTCCTGGCTTATCTCCAGCCTCAATAGAAACAAGAGGAAATTACTTTTCTACAAAGCGTCTGACAAGGCAAAATCTTTTACACGTTTTCCATTGGAACAGCGGGACATTTACTATGACTTAAGTGCTTTGCTGAGGAGGTCTAATTCAAAACTGAGGTGCCCGCTTTCTGGTTGCAATTCTCTTTTACGATCAGTTAGTAGGTGTAAGCGCCCCAACACATCAAGCTGACTGTTGGCGGTCTGCGTCGTTGGGTTGTGGTTGAAAGTCTTTGGCCGACCATTGCCTGTAATTTGCGTGGTGTACAGCACTATTGGAACAGATGGTTGGACCTTTTTATTCAGGTTAATTACGTTTTCCTGATTAAAAACAGTCTACTGTTGTGTCTGAAGGTATCAGTGGTAGTCTTTGTGTTCAAGTGTGACTTGAAGCTGAGATTTAAAGCATGTGATCACTTTATGTGCCAGGTCATTAAAACCCTCCTGTTATCCTTGGGGTCAATTTGACCCCATTCAATGTTTAACGTATCTAAAAAAATGGTTCACATTATTTTTTTTGCTTAGTATTTCATGACTTATCCTAATTTAGTGGGGACTAAGGGGTAAACATAAAATGAACATGAAGATCTTTTTTATATGTCCTGTGCGCACTTTGTACGCATCGGTGTTCCTTGGGGTCAACAGACCCCAGGCTGTTATAGTAGTATAATACATGTAAAAATGTCAACATTTTACACATATTTGTGTTGATTGTGGAGGATGATATGGACGAGACTATTGCATGAAAATGTATCATTGTAGTTATTGGTCCTTTAACAACATCAAAAAGATCTTACTTTAACATTTTATTTCAGTCAGTGAGATTTTATGGTGATTTAAATATTTTTCGATCTTCACATAATAGACCACCGTGTGTACATAGGACTTCTCTTTATTGTGTAAAAAAAACCTTTATATAACGGTAGGGACTAACATAAACATGACTGTGTAAAGATGGCTAAGAAACGGAAAATGGAATGATTTGCTTTGAGTTATACCGACATCAGACGTTACAAGTGTTTCCTAAAAAAATAACGACCACACAGACTAGTGTGTTCATTACCAAAGTTACCGTTTCTATATAAGTACAGTAAAGAATTTACCCTTACTTCCAAAATAAGTACCCAAATAATTATACAATATAGGTACTCTAAACTATATAGATAAAACTCATGTATAAGTGTAGAGTGCGAAGGAGGAATACGAAAAGGATATTACATCTAGAACTCGTGTGCCAAATCGAGAACCGTATAACACGTCTAATCATGGGGTAATGAATTCCTCGTAAGCCGCTTATGTTATGTATAAGGTTATAAATTGGTTTTAATGTGTACAGAGCACCAAGAATCCATGTCATAGCAGTCAACTGAGTTGGAAGGGGGGATGTCTGTAGGAAATTGTNACACACACACTCAGTGCATGCAGCTCTGCTGATCTCTCCTCCCTGGCTGCAGGCTGATAACAGACAGTTGGGATCACGGCGAAATTCTCTCTGCAGACCGGGTCTGCAGAGAGAATTTCGCCGTGATCCCAACTGTCTGTTATCAGCCTGCAGCCAGGGAGGAGAGATCAGCAGAGCTGCATGCACTGAGTGTGTGTGTGAGGAAGACCGTGGAATGGTCAATTTGGAGCGGGGGCTTAACGTAACGGCTCCGCGGACGTAACGTAACGGCTCCACGGATTGGTCCATTTGGTTCCGGGTAACGCATGACATCATGAGTTACCCGGAAGAATCAATGGACAGTGACGTATCTCCAACGAGGCGTTTTGGGGAGGTCTTTTCTATGTTAGAGTTTTACTCGCTACAGGGTGTACTTTGTGGGTTTTGACTCTGCAGACCGTTTACATGCATAAAAACCTTCATAACACACAAAGGGACGGGTAATAACCGGAAAAGCATGACATGGGACCTTTAAAGTCCCAAAATAGGCATACAAAGAAGAAAATTGTTACTTTTATTCATGTCAATACTTTAAATGTTGTTAACCAGATAGACCAGATGGATTAGAGAGCATGTTCATTATGGTTTTATGAGTTGTGGATATTAAAGTTATCAGATACCTCTCCCTGCCATCTGGATTTGTAGATGCAACACTATCCCTCTGTGCTGCACTGGGCAATTAAATTCCTCTGTTCGCACATTTCGGCATGTGATTCAGTAAATAATAGAACAAGTAGCCTTGCACCTCATGGTAACCTCAGCTCATTAACATTTCGTCCTTGTTTCTAACTTTTCTTCCTGTCATTGCTGCTCTCTGTCTGCTCACACTACAGTAGCGTTGCCAGGTTCGTACTGTTCCCCCCTTGTGAAGAGTAGTCCTCCGCTGTGCCAACGGTGGCTTCTGGCCAGTTTGCAAAAGGTGCCAGCATGGGATCAGAGCCAGTTTACAAAAGGTCAACATACCCCAGACGGGATCAAGTGACTTCTACTGAACAGCAGTGTCACTCAAACAGCCACTTTATCCCACACAGTGTGACACGGGGACACTGCTCTGCCTGTGGTGGATGAGCAGATAATATGTAGAGTGACAGCCTCACCATCACTGAAGCATGTTGAGAAGGCTTTGGGGAATGAAATATGCTCAAAACACATTTAATATATTTTTTCGTTAACATATAATCATGGTTTATCCATTTTGATGTTTCCTTAGTGTTGGACATGGCTGCCGTTTGGCATATTGCTATCCATCAAATATGCTTCCTTCACTGTTTATCTCATCAGTATGGAGATGGAAACAAACGTAAGTACATGCAACTGACAGACGCATCACCACACACACACACACACACACACACACACACACACACACACACACACACACACACACACACACACACACACACACACACACACACACACAAATGCTGTGTGTAGCATTTCGTTTTATTGCACCCATTTTTCAATAATCTTTTCAATGGTTGACAACGGTTTCCCCGACTGAAGAAATGGAAGGCATTACCATTCATTTGACAGTAATGTACTAGTGATTTAAAATGCTACACACAGCAGTTTTTCACACCTTTCTATCTCTGTTAACTCTCAGCCAATCCCAGCGTCCCCTTGTTTGTCTTCACTCGATGTGTCTTCCACTTATAAAACCACCAGCACAATGAAAATGTGTAGAGCGCAAAGAATGCTGGGAAATCATACAGGAAAAGGCTGAAGAAGAATCCAGCGACTACGAGGACGCACATTAGAAGTCTGTTGTGATGAAGGGTGTATAACATACTCCACCATACAACTCTATCAGACTCTTGCAAAGTGTCAGAGGAAGAACTCCGATGTTTGTGAGAGGGGTGGGCCGATTGATTAAAACCCTCCCTGTGGGCGACTTCTTCTATTTGTCTGCCTGTTTCCTGACGTGTGACAGACCTTTCTTTTGTTTCAGGGTAGTTTTCCTGACCCTTTGGATTTCCATCTTTTTGCATTTGTGTCAAGGAAAATGCACCAGAATCAAAAGCATTGGAGTCTTTCTCAAAAAGACAATTTCGTGTAAAATCAGGTTTACCGGCCAGCTCGCTTGTTCTATCAACAATATCGGTGTGTCCTTTAGAGGACTGTTCTCTCCGACCAAACACCTCATCCCAAATCTCACCGATCAGATATTCTCCAAATCTTTCTATGTGTCTACTTGTTTCCTGACAGGTGACAGATCTTTCTTTTGTTCGAGTGAAATGTTCCTGGTCCTTTATAGAGCGTTGGGCTGATTCGGTCAATGACGGACTACTCTGAGCTGCCGCAATGGGGGTGAAATCTTTACTGAGATGAGCACTTGTATTCAAATCTGTCTGTAATTGTGAAAGAAAGTTGGTTTGTTCTGCTGTGGTGAGGGACAGACTCTCTTTCGGGGAGAATTCATTGCTCTCAGTGGCTAAGGTTTGATCTTTTGGCAGTTCTATCAAGGACAATGCATCATTCAAGTCTTTCTCAAAAAGTGTAACATCAGGTTTAACTGCCTGTTTGCCCCCCATTCCCTCAACAATATCGGTGTCTCGATACGAAGCCTGGTTTCTCCAACCAAACACCTCTTCCCAAATCTCACTGATCAAATCTTCTCCAAACCTTTCGATGAACATCTCATCCAATCCAGACTCGATCACTTCAAGTGCTCCAGTATTTTCTGCTATGATAGAGTCTTTTGTTCCCTCTGACAATCTTTTATATTCAACACGTGTAGAGCTCTCAACTTCTGCTGACAACTCTTGTTCTTTCAATTCCGCTGGTGCGTTCTTCCTCTCCCCCTGAGGGTCCTCCACATTACCCATCAAGTCCTCCTGCACTTCTATGTTCAGCTCTCCAAAGCTCATGCTCTCATCAGTGTCTCTGTGACTCCTACGTTCTTCTGTGCTTTCTAATGTCTCAGGTTGGTGTTGAAGTTCTGTTGAAGTGTCTTTCATTGCAACACTCTCCTTCTTCTCCATAACTTCTTCTGGGCTTATTTCACAGCCGACATCCTCTCTCTGACTGGCATCCTGTGAATGAGTCCATTTCATGTCTAAAACCTCTACTCGGTAAGTGTTGCATTTATCTGTTGAAAAGGGGCTATCAGGAACACCTTGGAAGTCTTTCCCATCGTATGTAACCATTATGTCCGGTTGCTTTTCTATTATTCCATCACAGCTCCTACTTTCGTTCTCTGCCTGATTTGAAACTAATACACCTGTTTCCAATTTTGGTACAATATTTTCCTCAAGTTGCGTCTGTCTTGGGGCTTGAATGCACTCCACATCCCCTGCTTCGATTGTCCTTGTCTGTTTATGTTCTTCCGAAATTATTGATGTGTCCCCCCTCTGCCACAATGAATGAAGTTGAAAAGCTTTGTCCTTTTGCTCCTTATTTAATACCTGAACCATTCCCCCTTCTGCACCAATTAGTCTCTTTGTTTCGTCTCTTGTACAATAGGAAGGTTCCATCTCTCTCTTTTTGAAGTCTTTGCTATTTGATGCAACATCCTCGCAGTCTGATTCATCTAATTTGAATTCACTTGGCATTATTTGACTTTGCGTGAAATGTACCTCAGAGGTATTGCTCAGATTGGATTCGCCTGCATTTTTCTGTGCAAGTTTTATTTCATTTTCATTCTCCTGTAATGGGTTTTCACTGTTTAGGTTCTGCCTGACTTCCCCATGTTGCTTTTCATCTGCACACCGCCGGGAGATTTCACACTCTTCTCTTTTCTCTGGCCTAAATATCTCCTCATCTGCAGCTGCTTTATTTTCCGTACAGCTATTCACCATCCCTTCCTCCCCTCCTTGTCTGGATGTAGAAAAGACAAACCTCTCCCCATCCTTTGTCCCCTTTCTGATTGTCCCTGTAAATGCCAGCTTGTCATCCATCATGCTCTGTGTGCTACCTGTAACCTCGCCTTCCCTGCTGGAAGAAAGACCCTCATCCAGTCCCTGTGAGATCCTATCATCGGCGGTGGCATTCTGAGACTCTGGCATTGCTGTCATGTCTGTTGTCTCCGACTCCCCTGAGCTTGTTACTAAGTCATGTGTGCATTGTGTGAAGGGCTCATCCTGTCCTTTTCCTTCTGCTCCTCCTATTATTTCCTCTCTTCCTTGCCCCCAGATCGTATGCTCGTGACACTCAGTTGAACTGTCAACAGAGCCTTCGGACACCTGCGTTGCCCCCTTGAGGCAAAATATCTGCGGAGTGTCTGTAACGGAGTTTGTCTGTGACCTTTGGGATGTGTCTCGTGTCACTGTGTCGTCGTCTCTTGGGCTGCTGACACATGCCTCTGCTGGCTGGAGGTCTTCAGTATTCAACGCGACATCAGCAAGACTGTCTGACAGCAGCTGGCATACAGCTAAGGTGTGTGCATGTAAGTTGGTGGGTGTAACCGTGCCCACCTGCAATTCTTGCTCTTGACTGCTTGCTGTATTTCGAGCATTGGGCCCTTTAACATTTGAGGGAGAAACTGACGCTGCTGTCTGCAGCCATTCTGACTCTGGAACAGCAGAAGGGTCCGTACAGCTCGGCTCATTAAGAAATGCCTGCCATACATCGCATACCGAGGTTTCTCTATCACTGCTATCATCTGTTCTGTTACCAAATGCCTCCCACACATCATTGACAGAAGGCGTTTTCTCCTCTGACGCTTTTGACAAGGTCATTTTAGCTGTTCCAGTCCAAATGGCACGCATTTCCGGAGCCCCCCTCTCATGGGCTTTGTCATTGTTCCAATCCAGTGTAAGCAGAGGAATCTGGTGGTAGGTGAGCATCTGTGGACTCTCGTTGGATTGCTTCTTTTGGCGTTGGTGGAGAAAGCTGGCAGAGTCAACCCACTGAGCAGGCAGAGGCTGAGAAAGCCCCTGGCTTGTCGCTGAGTCATGTGAATGAGCCTTCGGTATGTGCTGGCTCCTCTGGGAAAGGTATTCCTTCAAACGGGCCAAGCGGGCTGCTCGGTGTCGGCTGTTAATGCTATCCACCTGTCAGAAGAGTCAAAGGTCATTTAAAGTGTTAAGGCTTGACCTAGTTTAATCAGAGGCTACCAGTTTTGTTCATCTAAAAGTCAGCAGCTACTTTAAAACCTCAATCCATGGCAATACTGATGCAACCTCATGACATACACCTATTTTTGTTTACTTTTATTATTAGTAGTTTGCACATTTCAGACTATGAAGTGGCAGACTAGCTTACTTTCCATATTTTTCGGGGCAAGTGAGCACTGTGCAGTATAACAATCATCTTTTGCTCGGCTATCGTAACGTTGCAGAAAGAACAAAACACTTTCTCACTGTATATTTGCAGTTTATATCAGCAGCTTGAGACATGGTGAATAGAACACCATGTTTTTGTTGGAAGCGGTGTTTACTTCTGGCCTTTTCTCTCCCAGGCTTCAACAATAAACTGAAAATATAACAAATGAACCTTACCAAAGTTTTGCGTTCTTCACGGTCTAGTAAGGATTGTATATCTGTGCTGCCCCTCCTGATAGCCTCCTCTGCTTTATGTGTGGCTTCTGCCTCTGCAAGTAAAACATGTGCTTGCATTATTGATCAGGTATGCGTGTACACACATAGAAACTAGAAATGAGGTATACACACCTGCAGCAGCTGTTGAGGTGTTACAGCTGTCCTCAATGTTTTCCTCTGCAGTGCCCTTCCTTTGGTTAAAACATGAAGCAGGGTTTACATTACATAAGGTTATAGTGTTTTAAATCACATTCTGTGTTAGTGTTTCTTTGTGACAGCATCTTGCAACTATTCAGAGTGGGTATCACATGCACCAACACTGGCTTTGCTGTAATTGTAATACATTAGTAAAAGGTGTACAGAGAAAATCTGCAATCCCTATTTCCATGCAGACAGTTTATACCTTTTGTGTGAATTTAATTTGATTGTTCGCCAGTTTTTTAAATGTTGTAATGTGTGCACGACTTTCTAACTGAAACAACTTAGATCAGAGCAAAGATAATAAGGAATTACTGGTCAGAAGAAAACGCAGTTTCTGATTTGGAGTTCATTCAAAGAGAAAAAAGTAGCCGAAGCCTATCTGGCATCCGTAGCCATGGTGAGACGTCATGGAAACCTAGACACACACCTGACCTTAAAAGGGCAATATGTGTTTCAAGCAGCCATTACTGAAAGTTACATAACGGCTTACTGTAAACACACAATTGCCCGGCCAGCTTCCACGTGATGACAGGAGTAGAGCACTGTGTCAAATGTCCTACCACAGGAAATGAATCATTTGGAGCCTTCACTTGTCTCTGGTTGATTTGTTGCTAAACTGTCACAACATGAATAAAGTTTGCACTGATAGATCCAAAAACGGTTTTATCTGAATATTGATTTCCATGTTATGACTTCCCTGTGCTGCTGAATGTTTACAAAATAACTTGAGTATTAGGTTCTCTCACATGATAGCTTTCAGACAGCTCCTCTTGCTCTTGTAGATGTGACTCTCCTCTTGCGCCAGGAGAACGTGCTCCTTCACATGTCCTTTCTGGTGGCAGAACAGCACATAGTTCAACCCTGCGTTATTAGCCCAAAAAGTGCCCACGGAGGTCTCATAACGCAGAGAGATCTCCACTCTGGCCCCCTCTCTATCAAAGGGAGGTACCAGGGTGTACATGAAGGTAAACCTGTCTGTTTTCCTGTCACTGGATCCAGGCACGTACTCCGCCAACAAGTCAAATTGGCTCGTCCAGCGATCCAGGGTCATCCGGGCGTAAACTGACTTACTATAGCAGAGGTTGACCACCCTGATGGTGCCACGCAGTGTGGTGGTCCCCGGGAGGAGCTCCATGCTTTCAAGTTCAACCATCTGTGTTTGTAGCCTCTGGTCGAGCTCCTCGGGGGATGAGGGGGCTGTAAACAGGCAGGACATGTAGCACTCCTCCAGTAGAGGGGTTGCCTCACTCTTCGGGGGCTGGCTGACCTCTGACTCTGTGACATTGTCAAACTCCTTCACTGACACCAAGTTGAGACCGAACGCATCGGCAAACGACACCTTCCTCCGAATGACGTGCGGGGGCTCCGGTTCGCAGTCCTCATCTGTTTCCTCTTCCGAGGCCTCCATTTCTCCCTCTTCCTGTTCCCCATTTATTTTCATTTCCTCCTCCATAACGGCCCCATCCTCCTCCATGGGTTGGATGTGCGTCCCCTCCATGATGTGCGGAGGCCTGAGAGGCAGCTGTCGGCCCGTCCTGCCGTCTGTCTGGCTCGAAGGGTACAGAGCAGAGTGCCCGTAGCCTGGCTGCAGTGATACTGTAGAAGGGAGAGCAGGGAGAGAACGTGACTGGGCAGATGGAGTTTGGTTTCAGCTGAATACTGTGAGTCTGAGCCAAACCTATTAATAGTGCTCATATAGTTCAGGGCAGGCCATTTATCCTCGTAGTTATCCTCGCACAATATGTTTGCTAGTAACAAAATAAATAAAGGAAAATATAGCTTCCATAAAACACTTCAAAGTAAAAATATTGCACTAACAGAACCATGTTTATAGTACATTGCCATGGTGTCTATATACAGCTGATTTCAATGTTTAAATATTCAAAAATCAGAGTTGAAAATCTGTATTTGAACTTTACTATCTGTGTCCCTTTACCAAACACAATAATGATATGGCTGAGATGGGACTTCGGACCTGAGTGTTATGGTATGACACTTTATTTTGGTCATGGTGGTCAGATGATGACACAAGCCATCATGTAACAGTTGTACGTAATCCGTGATATAATCTGTGCTTCTAAATACTCAGCTGTACAGCCTTAAACCATGGTGCTTCTTTCAGAATGTGCAGAAATGGAAACTGATGTTCCACTTTCTAGCAATGTTGATTAGTTTGAATTGACTTCTCTAATATACCTTTATTTGCTGGAAATAGAATATTAATGCATTTAGTCCTCCACTGTCCTACAAACTACAAACTGAAATATTTCAACTATTTATTGCATTTTCTGCAGAAGTTGACGTCAGAAAGAAATATGGTGACCTTGTGTATCCTTACATTTTCATTAAGTGCCGTCACAAGGTATAATTGTATTAATTCAGAATTTGTTAAACTACTTGAGAACTAATCAGTCAATTTAACTTCAACTCTGTGTTTACCTTACCACCACATACTAACATTCTAAGCTAATGTGATGAATACAGTATTGTTAACATAAGAAAGTCTCCATTGTCATTGTGAGCATTTTTAGCATTTGCATGTTAGCATTTAGGTAAAATTGTGGCCGTGTCTAAGTTTAGTCTTACAGAGAAAATTGAGCCTTTTTTAGAAATAATTCTAAATAATATAATTGGAAGTAATAGAAATAATAACAGAAATAATATGTTTTAGTACTCAAGTGTCCCCAGGACTGCTCAAAGGGGAAATGCTCTTCTGCTAAATGCTAATTCTGATCTCTGACCTTTTATATACAGAGTACAAAAAACGAGATAATATTGTGTGTGACCCTAGTTGTGTTTGCCTCCTCAGATAGGAAGTTCAACTAATCACCAACATGCAGTGTAACTATACCTTAAAATCCAGTTTATTGTGTAAATAAAGTGCTGGTAATACAATCCTTCACTTGTAGGTGACCGGCTGAGGCTCTCTGTTTACTATCAATTGTAGTTTTGGTCTGTAAATACCATCACAATGTGCAATAGCTGTAAAGGCAGATATATTATGACAAGTCTGTGACCATATGCAAACATGTTTTGTTTTTTTGAAAGAAAGCAAATAAATCAGGAACAAAACTGCTTATTAAAAAAGAAAGAAACAAGCTTATTCAACATATGTTAAATAGTATTGTCAAACATTTTATTTTTTTCAACCGTTTATATATTTAGTAAACTAGTCACAGTGGTATTTTAACTGTATGTCCAATGTATATCAGTAGATGGCACTATATGATCAGAGTGAAATACATGTCAGATAGAAATACACATCAGCAAAATTAATATTTGTATACTTCCCTTCTCTTGCGATATTAATGCAGGCTAAAAAAAATACACAATATGTACATTTTCAATATAATGGTGGGAGAGTGGTAATAATAAACATGTATACACTTACATGTATAGTTATTTACTCCGTTGTCTCCTGTTACTTTTGACAGACTGTCATATATAACATTGACCAGTAGGTGGCAGCATACCACCACAATTCCATGATACTTGTTTTACATCCTGATCACATTTCAAAGATGCTGTTACATTTTGTATTTGATGGATTCAAAAGAATAGCAATAAAGATTTGTTACAAACAACAACACACAAACCTAATTCAACACATACTGATATATTGGGTAATATGATATGCGTTTCACATGCTATCAACTACAACACTTGTTTTTTTCAAATCAAATAAAAATATCAGCGACAATATATCTCAATTTATCTATTTTAGTGCATTTTGCATAATTATATAGGATATCTGGCAACACAAAGCTTTTCCATTCATTTGGTGAAACAGTTCTACTAGAGAAGAAAATGAATGTAATATTAACATCAATAAGACGCCTTCTTACTACAAGAGACATGCAGACTATTTTGTATTTAAGTCAATACAAATAGCTTCGCTTTATTGACCCCATTTAAATGTACACATACAGCACAGGCTTAGATACAGATGCTGTAAGATGAGTTTCTTTCATGAAAGACACATATGACCATCATTGGCATGAACAAATCACATACAAAAAACAGTCATTCATCATATAAATAAAAGTAAATTTAGCATTTCGATCATTGCCAGTAGAAAGAACACAGGACATTAGTTGTTGTTTCTTACATTTTTTTTAATACGTGCCCCCCCCACCCCCCCTTTTTTTTTTTTTTACTTGTTAATCATTTGGTCATTAATTTCTTGACCGTGAACGTCTCAACGGTTTGAAAAGAAGAAAAGGAAGACGAGACAGAATAAAGCAAAGCCTTTGAACAACTGCACGTCTGGTTTCGGATCTACTTTTAAAAGAATAAATAGACTAAATTACCTTTTTTTTTAGCAACATTTAAAAAGAAACATTCCTTCAGTCAAACAGTGCATGTACATCTTCTTGTAATAATATTACTTGTTATAATATTATTTTAGATTTCATTAGATGACATTTAGAATGAGCTATACATTTAGGATGAGCTATACATAGTCTAAACGTACTGTATGTTTACATTAACTTAAGAAATTCCGTAAAAATAATAACGATACTAATTTGTAAGATATTTATCATTGAACATAATTTTGCTGTAATGCACACACCCCCAGAACATCGTTATTTGTCTTTTTACTATGCAGATTAAGAATGTTTTAAAAATAATAAGGCTGATGTATTTCCTTTGACTCATGTTCACACATAAGATTGCATATTTATTTTATTTAGAATTTAAAAAGTCTTAATAGAATATGACAGCGATGTAGTTTACCATAAAAACATGACACACAAGTTCATGTATCCTATATAAAAAAAACAACGTTTGCTGGCAGTCACTTTGTGGTCGCTGTATGCAGTTCCTGTTGGAACATTACGGCAATATTTAATGATTTTTTCATTTGGTTACAAATGGCAGATGTATTTGTAATAAAGCGACTTCATGGTAGTGTCTTTCATGAAGTTTCTCAGATTGAGCACCAGGCTCACATATCTCTTCGTCGGAAGGACCGTCTCGTTACCGGTTCTCTCCCCATCAACAATACGACACGAGCAACGCATAACAGAGAGAAAACCCACGCCGTTTGAAAAAGGGGAAACAAACTTTTAAAAAAATGACTTTTGTTGACATAGCAGGTGCCCTGACGTCACACGGGGTCGCAGTACTCCCAAAAATAACAACACACACACCTCCGCGCACAAGCAAGTGCCTCCCCCGGGGGGGTTTCTAGACCCAAATATACTTGCTTGCTGGGATACAGCTTGATGTGTGTTTGAATCGTAACGAAGAAAAAAAACAAGCCGCGTCTTCCTCGCATTGCGCGTCATTCAAACAGGACTCAGTGTACTGCTTTTCCCTCTGTTGCATTAGTAATAACAGCGGCGTTGACGGGAGACAGCAGGAGAGAGTGTGTGTGTCTCAGACTGCGGTGCCCAGCGGAGGAATATTTGAGCTTTTTATTTACTCTGCAGCTTGTTGTTCATTTTCTCTGCGTTATGGTGAACTTGGACAGTCACGTGTGAACATCTCTGCAAACACAGAGGACGACGACTTCGCACCTGGTGTGTCCCTTTGACTTTACCGCGAGGAGAATATACCTGCCATTTTTTGTGGTAAGTTTTTCTCCCCATGAGCCGTTTTCTCTCCACACTTTGTGAATTAGGAAGTGGACCGCTGGCCACAAGTTTGTCCCGTGTTATCTGGCGCTTTGCAACTTAACTTGGAACGTTATTATTTACATGTTGCGCGAGGACTTCCTGTGCTTTTTAATGACCGAGCTGCTGTTATTTTACATTTATCACCTAGGACTAGAGTTCATCTTTTTCATGTTGGACCCTCAGACAGCAGTGTCAACGCTTCGCTTGCTCTGAACACTGAGCACTGACTTTTAAAAAGCCGACTTATTGTTTCTTATCTGCTCATTATTTAACCATTAAATTCAGATTATAAATTGTGCTTGCACATTGTTACACATACACGATTTGCATTTAACACCAAGTGGTAAATGACATATCGTGAAACTAATTTAAAAAAGATAGTCTGTTCAGAAGTGTGCTCAATTCGGTAAAAGTATTGATAACTGTCCTTTGAAAATTGTATTTGATTTAAAGCCTATTTTTAGATTAAATGTCTTTATCATTTTTTGCAATAATGTAATGAAAAGCAATTGTACTATATATTTAGAGTTTGCTGTAAATTATTAGTGTTGATAAAACATTTAAATAATTACTAAAAACAAGACTAAACAATAACCTTAATTTGTAATATCAATTGTTATATGTACATCACATATACATATGTAAATGTCATTCATTTGTGTTATTTATTAAATAAGCAAAGATTTCTGTGTTGTTAAATTCCTTTACTGTCACAAACAGGGGTTGCTTATAGTGTGTTTCAAAAGTTGTTTTTTTAAATCACTCATTCTGTTTTCAAAATACAAACATACAACATAAAACCTGTTCATTAAAAAGGAAATGCAATTAGATTTTAAGCACGGGCTGTAGTTATTCATGCTTTATCTGCATGATCTATGATTATCAGCATTGAATACCTTACCGTGCTTGCTTGCTCCATTTTTATATTCCATATGTTATGTCCAGAAACAAACAGGGATGCTCAGAATTCATGATAATCTACAATTCTAATTTATTAATCAAAACAGCTTGTAAAAGCTTCTGTTAAATTCCTCTATTTCACTCTTGCAATCACTATGGCTGAAGAATCAATAGATGTCACTTTTTGGTAAAGGAAGGCTAACTAGGTAGTGGGAGATGCTGGACTCTCCGGGCCTGTCCTCTGATCAGCTTTCACCCTGGATTAGCTGCATGGACCCTCCTTGTTCCAGCCGCAGGGTGCACAGGTGTTCCCTCCTCAGTTATGCAGGTGTGGGCCAGTTCCCCACTCACTCAGCAGCTCTCACTCTTCAAAGGCCAGGCGGCAATAAATGCCCCTTGTGAAATATGTCATCGACGGTGCACAATCAGCCCCTTTGTTGAAGTGCCCCTGTAATCATTTCTTAAAGCATGCTTAAAACAGTCCCCCTTGTTGACTTGTTATCGGGGTGGTGTGTGCAGTAAGTAAGGTCACTTGATTCTGTAAAACCAGGGTGCATTTTCCCCCCCCAAGGCAGTGGGAGCGATGGAGAGAGACTTGCCATTAGTCTCCCTCCATCGCTGACCGTTGTTGGGAGCAGTGCACTTATTACCACGACTCTCCCCACTCTGCGTCCATTTTTTGATTGCTGCATTTATCATCGGGCGCTCGTGCTCTACATTATGGTAATAGGAAAATGAATGTCCTCCACAGGATTAATGTGTATACCCTGTCATACGTTTCAATCATTTATCAATATTAAGATTCAGCTTTCAGCTCAATGAACACTGGTTGATGCATGATTTGATCTTTAGATATGGAAATGGTTGCGTCCAGCTGAAGTAGGAAATGCTTTGTAATTCATTTTTTGTTCTGAGAGTTCTATGAAAACTTTGCGTGCATTTACTATGAATGCAAAAACGTAATAAATTAACTGTTTTAAATGATGGCAAATTAAGACCACAACGTGGATTTTCTGCACAGATCATATCAATTCTGTTGTGAGTACTTCTTAGGCAATGAAACACTTTTGGATTGGCTTTTGAGTTGCACCATCACCCATCCCCCAACACCTCTGTAATGAAACAGACTGCTCGCTCAACCCTTGAGGTGTTGCTGCTTTTGGGGGAAAAATGGGTAAGAAAATCAAGGGAGTGGTGCGGCAGCTTCACTTTCTAAACATCTCACTGAGCTCATCTGTGAAACTACACTGTGTTTTCATGTGTGGCTAACTTAGCCCTCTTACTGAGCTTAAAGGCAATTAAACGTACAGGTTATATCCCAGTTTATAAAAATGTTTCCATGACAACCTCCATGCAAGTTAAAGCAACCAGAAGTGATCAAGTCCTTTTTTTCCCTTCTCCCCTCCCACTTCGTTTCCCTCCCCCCAGCCCCCCTGTAAGAATGGAATTTGTGTTGACAGTTTTGGCCTTTAATGGCACTTTTGTGCCGCGCAAAAGTATTTGTTTACCAGGATCATATGCTGCGAGCTGTCGGCTTGGGAGAGATTGACTTCTTAAGATAAAAGAGTGCATTACATGCTTAAGAGGCCACCCTTTTGCACTGTAATTATCCACATCACAGTAATGATGTTTTGTGTGCCACTAAGAGTCTTGAGACAGCTCAGACTTTTTTAGTTACGCTCTGGGTCACTTCTTAAGCCTGACTCGACGGTGTTGGGAGACGATGTGACTCTTTGGCCGGAGAAATGTGTGCAGGGTGGGGTCAGGGGATGAGGATTAGAAAGGAGATTGCAGGCAGCCCACACAAGGGTATGTTAAGAACTATCTGAGCAAAGAGCCAGTCGGCGACTAGCCTTTTGTTTCATCTCTAGTCACATGTAGAATTTGTTTCAGTTTATTATTTATTGGTTTCATGCTTGCTTTGCCAAGTTTAAAAAGCCTATGTGTTTACATATTTACTCATACCAAAACAATCAAATGTCAAAATATCTTGAAAAGATTGTTTTGCAAATATAACGTCAGTTTATCCTCTTAGGATTGTAAAGCCACATAAAGTGTTGCTTTTGGCTGTTGCGGATAACCTCACAAAGGATCATGCATGTAAAGATATAAAACAAACGTTTTGGTTTGTTTACACTATACCTCGTCAGCAATGTAAGATAATGGATGCCTTTTCAGAAGGTTTAGAGTTCACCTCTTGGCACTAGAGTCTCAACGGTGACCTTGGAGTTCAATAGTCTCCTGTTGAGCTGACACTCTGAACTGCCATGAGCATTGTCAGTCTGTTTCTCAAATTAACTATGTACTCATTTGAATCCCAGTACACATCAGCTACAGACCTGCCCTTTTTGTTCCTCATTGCATGTTTACTTAATGGTCAGTGTGGTGTGAAGGCACGGCAGCTTTTATTCAAGTCACGGTCAGATGGACAGTGTCCGGGTGAGAAGGAACGTGTTGGCTTTTTCGGTCCTGCCCTGCATTAAAGATAGAGGGTCACTCATGGTAAAAGGCAAGGTCATTGTGGCTCAGCCCACATCCAGCCATCAGCCTGTCAGTCAAAGCTCATGTGAGACAGCACTGTAGGCTAACAGTGGGAGCTAACCCTACCAGTGTTTAATGGGGCTGCGAAAGGTTGTTTAAAGCTGTGATTAATGACAATACCGGTACATTTTAGGGAGAAGAAAGTCCCCTTCTATGGTAAGTTCCAACCTAAATAATATCTGACAACCATTAGTTAAAATGTAATCTTAATGTCTGCATGGCATTATCCGAGCTTCAACGATAGAGGGTTTTGCTTCAGACCAGAAAACATCAACACTGCGTAAATCATCTCCGAAGACCTTTTCTCTTTACCCAAAGAGACACAGACATACAAAAAAATGTTTATTTCAAACATGTTGTGAGACGGGAAAAAAAACATGGGGGGGTCGTGACAGTAACAGTTTTTGACAGGCACATTAGGCTGCAGAAAGAGCATCCAGCTCGGGGCTGAGGGCATATGGTGCTGCCTTCTGCCGGCGTAGCTCTAGACCAAGTTACAACACTCGCGCAGGGTCACGACTGTCTCAGGTTTGTTCCTTCTGTCTAACTCTTCTAAATAAAAACAGGAGGAAAAATGGAGGTGGGGGGTTGGGTGGAGGCGGCAGTGTTGAGTGGGTTTGGGTGTTGTACAGTAGTCGATGAGTAAAGGACAAAAGGAATGTTTCCAGTCGAGCCCTTTGGGCCAGGATGTAATTTGGTCAAATGTGAAGGAAAGACTTTTGACATTTTCAAAGATGCATCTCTGTTAGTTTGGGTTGTTTCACAGCAACACACCGCCATTTTTGTTTCTGGCTTTACACATTTGAATAAAGCAGTTAAATCAAGTATAGTGCAGACATTTGATCTCCTTTCACCAGCTGAACACCCAGCTTGTGCTCTTGGATAGCAACCCCTAATCCTACTCTAAACAATGACCTTGTTTTCACCACATTGGCTCCGTTAGGGTTTTCTACTCTGTAATGTGCAGAGGATGAACTTGGATAATGTTTAGGATGACGCAGGGCTCTGGTCTGAAGACAGCGGATTGGCAGAGGGTAATTACAGGCTACTGTACGGCTCTCTGGATTTTCCCCGGATCACATCTATCGGCCTCCAAGCTCAGTTGCTGCTCTCTGCGAACCAAATAAAATGGCCTCAACATATGGAGGCAGCAAAACAATGGTTTATTTTTATGATATTTGATGAGTGGTTTTTAATTTAGATTGTCACTTCTGGCAAGCAGCAGGGCAGATGGTGCAGACTTGAGTGCCCATTAGAGCCTAAATACCTCCAGGCAGCTGTTGGTCATAAACTTTTTTTTTTTTTTAGCTTTTTCATGCATGTTTTATTTTTTTAACATGGATTAGGTCAAGAGGAGTCAAACCTGTTACAACACCTGTTTCTACATATGCAAATCTGTTGTATTGTCATTTCATTAGGCAAGGCAAAAAGACAAGGGTCCCTTGTGGTTGCAAATGCGACTGGCACCGGGCCCACTTGGCATGCTACACAGCAGAAAGAAGCTTGAGGCGGGACGAGGGGAGGGACGGGAAGAGGTTTTTTTTGTTGTAGCAGAACGCTCAGCAATCGGATGCCATCACATTACAGCTCAATCTGAATGGGTTCCTTCAAGTTGTCTTGGAATTGAAGAGGGGGCCCATTATCCGGCGTTATCTTTTCTGTAAAGATTTGCAATAAGTGAATGACGAAGCCCAGTAGCCAAAAACTGGCACACGCGTGTCTGGCACACTCCTCCTTTCCCCCCCTCCTCACCCCCAGTGTCCTCTTCTCTCCCCCTCCTCCTCCTCCCATCCACATCCCTTCATCATCTGGCGCTCTCCCGCAGCGCTCGCCTCTTAACCACATGTGCCAGTGCCGGGCCTGCTCTTGCTCCGGGGCTAATTGTTCACTGGTAAACTGCATGCTTGTTGGTGGGGGTCTCCCCTTTATCCAGGCACACTGCTACCACGCAGGATGGTG